TTTTTAATTTCTTAACATTCTCTGAATTGTACAAAGCAGATGCAAAAGGCCAGTTTGATCAAATAGATTTCAGTTCAAAATACAAAGCCATGTTTGTAAATCTTTCTCATTATGTCAGTTCCACTTGTTGCAAAATATGCATTCATGACTGATTGCAAATAATACTAATAATTAAGGATAAATACGTGTCAACCCTCCATAAATATCAGTTTCTGGTTTTACTGGTGAATGACTAGCTATGAGTTTGTATTAAGAAACTTAGAGATTCTGATTTCTATGAGCCTAGCCATATAGAAAGTTTTAGACTGATCTGGTTTTCCTCTTTGTCCCAAACTCTGTGGAAACAAGACCACTCTGGCTCATCACATAATATGCACAATTTCCTCAATGATAGAGTTAATAGTCCATAGGACCACAATATTTAAAAGTTCAGCATCTGCCTCTTGAAAATACTAAACAGCAATTACTTGGCCTTAATGATTTCTAGGAGTAAATGTAAGTTTCCATATTATTATAATCTATTATGTCATTGTAGCTGAAATTAAAAAAAAAATCATTTTGAAAATGTGAGGTCTCCATGCAGCATCCCAACCATTTTAATCAAATAGCAATAATTTGATCAATTATATGCTGATTATTAAGAGAATTGAGAAGCATGCAGGGGTCATGTAGGGCAGAACCTATTTGTTTTTAATGAGTTTCCAAAGTTTTATTTTGTGATTTTACTTCATTTTCCCTTGAGGCTCATTATCTCACTACTGGTTGCCAAACCACCTTCTACTTTGTGGATTATCCCACTGAGGGGTGTGTATGCCTCTTTTGAGAAACACTGCCTTAATGTTTGCCCATAATACTATTTTAAGGGATCTTTGATGAAAAATAAATCATAAATGTTTACCTTTGGGGTTTACCAAGACAGACATAAAACACTTCTAGCACACTAAGTATTTCTTGAGCCATCAACCACACTGCAGATGGGCCTCTTGCCTTCAAAAAGCATTTAAGGCTACAGTAAGTGTCCAGTATGTTTGCATAAAAAATCACCCACAGTTCAGGTTTCTTTTAGTTTTGAGCAGCTTTATAAGAATTATTCTATTGCGTCATTTGTCTCTTTTTAGTGTAGGTACTGTGATTTTTCTGGCTGTCAGTTGTTCCTTTATCTTAACCAAATAGGCGCTTCGGAGGCAAAAGTATTTGGGCTCACCTTACCCTAGGCAAGCCTTAGCACATATTTGCTGCTCTTACACAACATTCTGTCAGTGCTCCTCTAAAGAAGAATTATTTTGAATTAATACAGTTCCATAACCAATATATATTAACATTACTTTCTTAATTTAAAGCTTTCTTATGTCCATCCAAATGTGCTTTATTTTTGACAATTACAGTTCCTTTTTATTCCCTGTGAACAGTAACGAAGTCATTACTGAAACCTACAGACCAAGATTTTATTCCTGTAACTTTTTTAAAAGCTGTTGAATTTGAAATCCCATGCTAGGGAATACTTCTTATATTCTCTTTTGATTATTTTATAGATTTTTTTTTTAGAATAAGTTTAAAGACAATAATGTATGTGTGTGTGTGTGTGTGTGTGTGTGTGTGTGTGTGTGTTTGTGTGATCAAGCCCACTTTCAGTATTATTCCATTGTTCAAAACATAGAACAACAACATGTAGCTGAGGTATCCTCCCAAATCTTGTGGCTCAAATGATATAAATCAGTACTTTTAATATATATCCATGCAGGCATGGATGCAAAGATTTGACATTAGCTTTCATATTCTTTGGGTTTTTAGCAGTTCTTAAGATTCCTTCTAAGTACAACTTTGTTTATTTAAGAATACCTTGGCTTCTTCATATAGGTTTTCCTCCTAATATTCAGAATTTGCTTTCTCCATTACATCCTACTTGACCATTATTAAAACAAAGATTCTTATTCTAATACCTAATACTATGTCAGTCATTGTTATTTTCAAGGTGAACTTTTCATTAAATTAAGAAGTTGGAATTTTACTAACATTTTCATCAGCACTTGCCAGTAATATCATCCATAAAAAACAGACCTTTCTCCTTATTTTTAATTCACCTTGCTTATCAGCTATTTCCTTCAAATTATCTGAAAAATGATCCAAAACTAATTCCATAAGTTCAGACTCTGGATGCTGAATACTCTTTGGCCCTTCATATTTCGAAGGTGCAAACTATTTCTAACATTGCAGAACTGTTTTATTAAAAAAAAAAACAAAACAAAAAAAACCAAAAAAAAACCAACAAAAACCCAGGCAATTCAAATTAACAGTACTTTCAGGATGCAAATTAGAGGTTTTATGAAGTGGATCCAATCTGCATATCAAGAGAAATAATGTGGTATCCTATGCATGATGTTTATAAGAGAAATAACTATTTGTGTACCAGCTGCAACCATGCGCTTGTTATAGGCAAATGAAAGGTAAAAAGAAGGTCATTTATACAGCATAATAAAATTGTTTCCTTTAATTCTCCGGATTAGCTTCTTGGTGTATCAAACAGTCATAAAAATACTTCATATCTTTTTCTAAATACCAAACAAAACTGTATTTAAGCAGTGAAAATAAAGGCTCATACTTTTTCTTAGGGTTTCACAGCTCCTTCAATACTATCAAGCTGAACTCCTTGGTTCTAAAAGCATAATTTCCACTTCCAAAACATAAAGAAAGAAAAAAAATCTATATTTTCAAAATATATTTATTACAACAAACTTGCTTTTCTAATGCAAAATCTTAAAGACTGCCCCCATTTTCTTTTAGATCAACATATCCTTACACAAACCTAATCATATATTCCTTCAAAACATAATTTCACCTGAATATTACCATGGCCATGTCTCAATAAATTCCCTTTTTTTTTTTAAATTAAGAAATGTGTATCTATCAACTGTATATGTCTGGTAGTGATGATATAAACCTGTCAGGTAAAGTAAAGCTCCATGAAGTAACCTGTCATCACTCTTTTCCTGAAATAAACTATAGCTTTCTGGGAGTTCTAGAAAGCATCTAGTGACAGACATTATTGCAATAATAGGTGCTAATACCCTGCACTAGCACAGATGCTTTATATGTTTCTACTTCTTCTGGACTCCACATCATGCCTACATGAAATTCCATCCTCAAGCATGGAACTCACCTGCAGGTACATCTATTAGTGGCTAATACTGTGGTGACTCTCAAATCATGCTCTGGACTTAAAATTTAAAATAAATAAATAAATAAACTGTTTTAAAGATGTTTTTTCATGTAACAAATTGTTTCTGTTCATACTCTCTGAGTCCCACTCAGACCAGCATTAAATTTGGGGCTATGTAATTTCTAGATCCATATGTCAAGCCTTTACATAGGTCTTTACCTAGAAACAATTATGTTCTATATAGATCTGCAGCCAAAAGTAAACTTGATCCGTATATTACTTATATACAAATGATGTGTACTACCTATTCTTTTGCTATCGATCAAAGTAGACAGCAGGAACTCAAGACTATATACCTGTCTTTGTGAGCAGGGACATGTTTTAAAGCCATTTTAAAACAAGACAACTAGAAGCAGTTTACTTACTTTGTGAAGTGTTTTACTCTATATGACTTTCTCCATGCTAATAAGTGATGATTCTGCCTGCAGTGATCTTACATAATGATTCTAGCTTTTTATTTTCAAAGAATGGAGGCAGCAGTCTGCTGCACTCCTCTTATCACCACAGATCAAGAATTCCCACTCAGGTCTCAACTGCTTTTATATGTGCCTGTTAATATTAAAATGTCTTGGTGCCATGCACATGAAAATCCACTGATGATTATAAAATATTTTCCTTTCTTCCAGTTACTATCTGTTACTATCCACATATGTCTATTTGATTTGCTTGCATACAAAATCATACACGCACAATCTAAAGTCTAAAAGGCAAAAACTGCAGTGAGACTAAAGCAATATTTGAAATGTTATTTCTTACCATGATAAGGTGACTCTTAGCCCTATATTTCAATAGTTATTCAAATTATTTTTTACCAAAAGAAGCCAGAATTCACCCTGAAAAAGTGGGTTTTGATAGCAGCAGAAAGAAAACTGAACAGTTGCATATCCTTCAGTGTTTTACAAACAAGAGATGAACTAATGTCATATAATAGCAATATTCATATTGTGTTGGCATTAAGTCTATAAAAGCATAAACTGATAGGTATTGATACAGCTCTTAATAAAGCAATAGAATTTGATGGGAAAAATCAAGTGCTTGGTATACCAGAAAGTGATATAAAACTAAAGCCACGTTTAATTAATCCTATATAAACCCAAACACATAATTAAACCTAAAAAAAAAAAGCAGTTAAGATTACATTTATTCCTCATTATTAAAATTTCTAGCTTACTTCTTCCTTCACTGTTTACTGAGTTAAGAAGCTGCAAAACTATATCTGCACTGGAGGCAAGGCAGCCCACTCTTCTGGTTGACAGAATATGTTTCCCAGGCAAGTGGTTTATTTTTAAATAGCTTTTGTGAGTACAAAGTATGTTGGAGTGCTAACTCTTTTTGCCTCCAGCTGAGGCAATTTGCTGCTATTACAGACACTGTTTCAACACCTATACACCATGCCCTTCCTGTCACCTGAGTACCAAACCCTGTTTCGATGAGGGACATAAGATAGCGCAGAACCACTGACTGAATGTACTTTCACTCTTTTTCTCTTTTTCTAATGCTGGAAAAAGCAAGTTCCCAAGCAGAAAAGCAAAAGAGGGTCCTGATGTTTTCATGCATTTCTAAAAGATGTTTACCATTTATTCCTCTCTAATCAAAAGCTTACATTTTTGTCTATAACTACAGGCTTGTCTGAATTTTGAACAAGAACAGGCAAGAATCTTCCCAAAAAATTCTTTTCATGTCATATTTATTTCCCTTTGACTTTGGTTTAAATGAAGGTTCTATCATTAATCATATAAATTGCAAAAGAAGATAATTTGCACACAGAATGATAATTACATACCTTATGTTGGATAAGAAGACCATAAACCAAAATGTTTTTCTTTTTAGTTTCTCTTGCAAATTTCTTGATTGTAGTTAGGTCTTCCATCCCAATGCTGAAAGAATTATTTTCTGAACTATCCAAATGCACCTGCAAAAGAAAAGATGACAAAAAAACCAAAATCCATGTTTTCCATAGAGCACCATTTTAGACTGATGGTTTTTAGTATCTCATTTTTCTGTGTTAAGCACACATAAAAATACAGACTAAAAAAGGCTCTTCTTAGATAGCTTCTATTTACTGAATTCTACTACAAACATGTCATGCATCTTAAAATAATTGAATTTGAAAACAAACAATATTCTTTTATAAGCTGTAGACTAACTTTCAGAGGAGGTTTTTTGGTTTGTTTGGTTTTTTTTACTATCAGAGGACTATAGAATACATGTGCCTTTCATAAGCATCTTGAAGGTTTTCAAGACAGAACTGAATTCTTTAAAGTTTCATTAGAAATTTACTATCCTTTCAGTATAGCATATTAGTTGCCTAAATTGGATTAATTTCAAGATAATACTTTAAGTATAAAAAGCAGAAACTACCTCAAAAGAAGGTAGGGCTATGACTATCCTGAGCTCTTGGGCAAGGAAAGGCAGGTCTCATTTCCATCAGGGATGCTGCACAAACATTGCAGGTCTTAAAGGACCTGAACTGAGTTCAAGAAGTGTTCGGACAAAACTTTCAGGCACGTAGTGTGATTCTTGAGGTGCCCTGTGCAGGGCCAGGAGTTGGACTTGATGATTCTGATGGGTGCCTTCCAACCTGGCACATTCTATGATTCTGTGAATTCTCTCCTGGGTATCGTGTGCAGGGTCAAGAGTGGGACTCAATGATCACTGTGGGTCACTTCCAACTCAGAATATTCTGTGCTTCTGTAACTAGAATTTCAAGGGAGATATCAACTAGCTCAATGCTTTCCCAAGTCTTATGTATTCCACATTTTAATCAAGTTCCCTTAAAAAGTTATCAGCTTTAGAAACTAAAATTAAGAATGATAATTTGTACCTATAAGGTTTCAGTGCCTGTTAATAGCAGAAATACCTTTATCCTTAAAAGAAAGAAAAAGCATTTTCCTGGCTGAATGATTCCATCATATAAAACTTATCTCTGACTACTACACAGAGGTAGGGGTATAGAGATCACTCCAGAGATCAGTGCTTAGGAAAATTATTTCAAGTTCTCTTTGTACTTTATGTTCCATTCTTCTACTTTATGTTACATTTATGTTCCATTTTATGTTTATACTGAGAGAAAATAGATCCTCACTCATTTTCCCTTGCAACACCTTTTTTTAAAAAAAACGTTTATTGCCTAAATGCATACTCACCAGAAGCAAAGCTATTGTCTTCTGCTACACAAGCTGAGATTAATTTTCACACACACTCATTATTTTGTTATTTTCTACCCAAAACAGGACTAAGTACTACTCATTTACAGCTATTTACAAGAAATTATAAAACCTATTATTTTGAGAGAACTTAACCTAGCTCCTCTTTAACCTCTTTAACAGCTTTGAACAGAGGTTTTTCTCAAACTAACTTTAGTACTGAAATGCAAATAATTGCAACTACAGAGCTGAAGTACTAGCATTCCTTTCTTTCTAACCCTAAGCAGAGCAACAACATAAAAATCAAATCCATTTATACCATTAACAAACATGAAAATGTATCGCTCATAAAAGTAATGTCTGTTTAAGAATACAATTTGTCAGGTTACAGCATAATTAGAGGAGATACTGGCTTGATGCAAACAAATAATTGCCTGAAGTTTACATCTGTTATGCCTATTTCTCCTGTAACATTAATCTTCCCTTTTGTTTAGACACAGTAATCCAATTGCTGCTTCAGTTTACAGATGCCATGAAACAATCCAATCAGGCACCAGGATTATGGATAGACTTTGAATCTGTGACAACTGACAGGTGGGAATATGGACAGAAGTCATTGTGTCCAGCGAAAGCTCATCCTTTTATTGGATCAATACTCACTGGACTGGTTAAACAGAGAATCTGGCACAATAATAACACCTGTCCTTTTTACAACTTAAGATGACTACTGGAAAAGGAAAAAAGGCCCTTTTTTTTCCTTAATTATCAGATTATTATGAAAAATTGTTTTTATCATGAAATCAAAGAATAGACAAAAACTTTCCAATTACTCAAATCCAATTACATTAGACTGTTCCTAGTTATGAGTTTAGAATGGAAGCAGCTGCTCTCCCTATTTATTCTTTCAAGAGTTTTACTTTTGAGGGTAGAAAAACAATGTTCCCCTTACAGCTGGTACCTAAGACCTACACATTTAAATGTCATCATACTGCTTAAAATTCTGATTCACATTTGTCTGAGAAATATTAATATGTCTTTTTATACTGAAACAAAGTGTGTATTATAGGATTTTTCATGAATAATTAATTCAGGTAATATGTCAAAAAAGTATATAGGAAAGAATAAATTTGAGGAAAATCCCAGTTGTGTGCTTTAGTGAAGAGGACACCTAACATTGAATTTAATTAAAGACTGCTGAAGGAAGTTTCTGTCCCCCATACCATCTGTAATGAGTTTTAGAGATCAGAAGTTAAAAGGGCTTCGATACTTCCCAGTGATTAATACAATATGATGATTTGTTAAGCTAATTCTTGTCACTTAAAACATACCTTCCTCATCTCCTTTTCTTCCCATCTCATATTTCTAAAAGATAGTGTGGTACTTCCACCAGATGCCCAAGTGCAAATAGGCAACATACTTTTAACAAATGTATTTCTATCAGTGTTTTACATATTAGCAACTGTTTACACCTAGCTGTGATATTTTCTTCCACTGTCTAGTGCTCAGAAATTTCAAGTAGTTGTCAGAAACAACTGATGGATCTGGAGTACAGTAAAGGGATTAAATGTATTATTTTCTCATAAGGCTATTTTAAAAGGAGTCCACCCTAATAATTTGTGCATGCTTCAGGCTGCTCAAAACTTTCATTAAAAATGGTTCTGGGTTCTTCAATGACTTCAAGGCCTAGCATCTTGGGGGCAAAAGCCAAGTTTCATGGGGAGATTGTGTGAAAATTATTTGTACTCCTACTTCTTAGGAGATACTCAGACCAGAACGTTTATAGCTAAAACCACTAAATCCAAGTTTTCACATTCCTAGGATCACACTAAAAAAAGTATTTCATTGATAGTCAAGACTGGAAAGTGCTATCAATCAGGCACAAAATAAGCATGCTTTTGACACCTTAACATTAACTAGTTGATAAACAATTCCAACTTTATCTTCATACTCTACATTCAACACAGACAGAATTTTTTTTTTCCTTCTTGATAAAGGACTCATTTTCAGTCCAGAAAATAGCATTTTGCACACCCAGTGGCCTTGTGTCCTGAACAACAGAATTGGAGACATGTAATTGATCTGATTATGAAAGGCAAAAGTAATTTATCGTTGAAAATTCAGTAAAATAAAGTTTTACCCTGAAGTTCCCCAGAAACAGGGTCAAGGAAAAAAAGATGGTCTAGAAACAAAGTGCTAAATATTGATGTTCATAGAATCACAGTAACTCACTCCAAGCAAACAGCATATAATAGGTGGGGATTTAATTGATATGATGGGTTAGTCTTTACAGAAGGATCTGGACAGGCTGGACACAGGAGCTGAGGCCAGGAGTGTAAGGTTTGAGAGGGCAAAGTGCCAGGTCCTGAACTTGGGTCACAACAACCACACCCAGCACCACAGGCTGGGGCAGAGCAGCTGGAAAGGTGCCCAGTGGAAAAGGATGTGGGGGTGCTGTTTGACAGTGGCTGAGCATGAACTGGCGTGTGCCCAGGTGGCCAAGAAGGCCAATGGTATCCTGGCCTGCATTAAAAACCAGCAGCCATGATGGTGCAGCCATCAGGACCACACAGGCACAGAAAAAAATAAAGCCACTTTAATTTCTGTTTCTGAGCATTCAAGCACAGCACATCCTTTGCAGCACCTCCAGCAGAGAGCACAACAGCAAGGCAGCAGTTAACAGTTCAGTACAATCAGTCAGCCATGATGAGCCCTTCACAGAAATATATAACTAATAAACTGTCATTTGCTAGTGTCAGTTTGTTTCCTGTCAGGATGCAGTACATTTTTTGAAGTGAAAATGAGCTTCTTTAGAGACCAATTTACAGTTTAAATTGCAATTTTAGTCTAAGTTAGCAGCAGTTTAAATCTAGTCTATCTTTAAAATATTTATATTAAATATTACTTATATTTATATTAAATATTAATTTAAAATAAAATGCTTTCTATGGTAACTTACAGAAATTACCTACCGAAATAAGGACCACTGGATATAAGAGAGGAATATTTGATTTTTCCAACATATCCACTAGTTCCTGGGTTTCTTGAATGGCACATCTTTTATCCTAAATTAAAATAAATGTTTAGAATTACTGGAAACAGCAATTATGTCATAAAAATGGAATTTGAAGATCTGATATTTATTAAAAAAAAAGATGATACATAACTTTTTTTGTTTTTTGGGGGGTGTGGGGTTTGGTTGATTAGCTGATTGTGTTTAATATTCTTTTATGGTATTGTCTGGTAAAGTTATAGATGTTTGAAAAAGAATGATATTGATAATATTAATAACCCTTTATATATATATATATATATTTATATATATATATATATATATATATATATATATATATATATATATATATATATATATATATATATATATATATATATATATATATATATATATATATATATTTATATATATATATATATATATATATATATACATATATATAAACAAACAAGATTAAGGGTCTTGATTGGTCTCAGATATGGTTCATCTAAAACCAACCTGTTCCCATACATTGACCCAAATACAGATCACATGGCATGCACATGTTCCATGGGAAGCACTAATTTAGACCATGGTAGCACTGAATGCACAGTTAGACAACTTCATGTATGACAGGCTGCTCCTTAAAATAATTCACTTCAATACAACTGTTATGAAAGGAAATTTTAAGCTACTTCAGATTTTATCCCTCTTGTTCAAGAATTCACAGCTGGTTAGCACTACAGAGAAAGAAGTGTGAAACCAGAGGAGAATGAACAGACCAGTATCTGAAAGGTCTAGTCTAGCAGACATGAGAAACACTAAACATTGAAATGGACACAGTACATGAGGACAAAAATAACGAACTTATTACTCAAATATTTAATTATTATTTACCATTACTAGTAAGTTTAAGTGTAAAATAAATAGCATGCATCCTCACTACTTACATTTATACAAACAAAATTGTAGCACTGTTCTGAAATGATGTTTTGTAGACAGCTATCATTTTTGCTTAAAGATATTGAAATAGCTTCAACCTGATGAGACAAAAAAAGAAAAAAGTCAAAAGTTGTAATTCAGACTTAATTATCTGCTAAACCTTCCACCACTGTGGCTGAATGATTTTAAATTATTTTAACCAGGAAACTATTATTTCCATTACAAAAACTGAAAATTGCTCAAAATTTTGGGGCACTCAACAGTGAAGCATAGAGCCCAACGTATGTGGAAGTATACTGCTCAGGCCAGCCATTCCAGAAGCAGCCCTGGAAGCATCAGCCATGAGCACTGGCTTAGGATGTTCAACTGTTTCAAGAGATGAAAACACTGTCCATGAAACAATCTAATGATTTTAGACCTCTAATTCTGAGAAAACTTCTACAATACAAATATATATATTTTGTCTTCATGAAGTTAAAAATAAAATAAAATAAGCATACATGAAAGACCAGGACCTGGTATTTCAGGATTCTGCCCAGAACAGGAGTACAAGACTCATCTAGAGTTTCTCCTTTAAATAATTTCCTCAATGAACACTTCAAAATACTTTCTTAGGCACAGACATTATTTTCCAACCATTAACACAAGCTAAGTAACTATCTAACCTCAGTTAAAATAAAAAGTAGATTCTACTACATTATCAACTTCAAGACTGCCTTAAATAAAACAGTAGCAGAGAGTGAGTAGCATGTTCCCTAAGAGAAGACAATACTTTGAAACAAATAAAAAAATCTTGAAATTCAGGAGAAAAAAAATCTTTACTTTTTAAATCTTTAAATCTTTACTTTTTAAAAAAATCCCACTGTTTCACAGTACAACTGAGCTTTATTTATCCCCAAAACACATATTAAGTATCATAGCAAGCAACAGAAGTAACAAACGGCTGTGCTCCCCCAAAATGCCATTTAATCCACAATCCAACAAAAGTACCAATAGAACATTTAAAAAGGCTTTGCAGTGTTATGTAAAGCTGTATTTGTTAATTTTTTTAATAATCAGGAGCTAACTTGTTTGCAAAGGAAGGTGGTTTGAAACCAAGAAGTTGATAGTTATGCTCTAAAGATTTTAGAAACATTTTGGGCTCAAAATTTGATAGCATAAGCACAAATAGCTGACATTTAATATTTTAAGATTAAAAATAAAAAAATCACAGAAGAGATGAATTACTTAAAAATACTTTGAAAATGCAATACTCCAGGGCTCACCTAGCTTGAACCTCTGAAGATGTAAAATCAGAAATCCCTGGTACCTTTACAACCTTGCATGTACTTCAATGAACACTAGCCAGTGTCTTTTGACATTGACACCCCAGAAGGTATTTGGAACATGATCCAAGGCAGAAGGCCCACCTCTATTTTTTCCTTTAAGGTATTACAATACGTGAGGCTTAAGCATTGCTGAAAATTTAAAAATTCCTTTAGTGTATGAGAATTTTGATTTAACTTCAGCCATTTTATTAAGTAGCACACTAGCATTTTTTGACCACCATATTACCCAGCAAAGATGAAATCAAAATTTCTATTGGAAAAGTGAGCACAACTGCCTAAGTAGAAGCCTCAACAAATCATCAATTAACTAAATTAATACTTATTCTATTTCCCATTTAATATCCTATGCAATAGTACTTTCCTTAAAATTAAAATTAATATTAATCAATGTTATCAAATACTTTAGAGAGCAAAAAATTACCTAAAAATACCACCTTGGTAGAAAGTGATTCTAACATAATGTTTCAGTGTTTAAATAAAAAGTATATGAATTTGCTTAATTACCTCTGGTCCTTGTAATAACTGATATTTTTTAATGTTTTATAGTTATCAGCTGCCCTGTACTGAATTTTTAAGTTTATTCAACATCCACTTCCATAAAAACAGAAACTAATACCAGGATATTTGGAACCTGAAAATTTATTTAAATTATATCATATATATATATATTATATCAGAATTTAAAATCACAATTAACAGCAATGCAGCAGATGGACAATACAATCATTGAAAAATTGGTGATTTTCTACTAGTGAACTGCTAGTTCTTTTTCTATTTGAAAACAACCAAATACTTTTATATCCTGCTCGTGGACAGTTATCCAGTCACAAAAATGACACAGAATGTCATCCAGTTGATTCCATTTCACGTGACAGCAGCACTTTGTCACTAAAGAAACAGGAGTACATGATTTCCAGTCACAGAAGAAAACACTGTCAGCTCCCATTTAGGTTTTTTTGCTTCACAATAAATGGCTAAGTAACAGATTAAAGGAAAAACTCAAGTCTTGTCTTTCACAGTATGATATCTTTATGAAAACATTCATTCATTAGTCATACTATTTAAAGTAACACTGACTAAAGTACTGTTAAAATACTTCACAAGCAACAGCTGTAGCCTTCAAAATTTTTTAGAAAATATTTTCTTTTCATTTTCTAGGTCTTTTTCCCCCTGTTATTGATATTATCATGTAACTAGAGCCTCTTTCAGAAATCCTTCTAAGAAAATTTCTTTTTAATTCTTCTTTAAGGACATTATGTAGAAGTTAACAAATACCCTGCAAATAAATATGGCTGCTACTAAGAACTGGAGTGTCAAAAGTACCTAAAATGTTAAAATACTGGTCCCAGATAATATGTACTGAATTATTCCCAGTTGGCCTCTTATTTAGATCAATTACCTTCTAATTTTCCCCTTTGAAAAGGCCCAGCTTTCAGTGTGGTACATCTATATTGCCTAAAATAGTTATTTTGCACAAAATCAAATCTCCCTCAACAAAGTACTGTGCTTCATTTGAGAACAAATAGGCTCACGCATATATTCTTTCTAAGCTTAGAATCAACTCAGAGATTTTACTGTTTAAACATATATGGATAAGTTATGTCCTCCTACTAATAGCAGAATAGTTTACACAGAGATAAAAAAGAGAAATAATAATGCATCTGGTGTCAGTGAAATGGAAATACACTTCTGCCCCATCATACAGCAAGCAATTCAGACAAGGAAAGATCTTATTCGCGTTTGATAATTTTTTTCACTTTTAGATGTAGACACTTAATAGATATAAAGTATGATTCTATGCTAAATACAATTCTTTAAGAACAAAAACTTTAAGTGCAATGTCAAATGACATTTCCAGATATAAAACAGTAATACAGGTTGGTAGAGAAACATATCCTTCTAATAATTAACACACCATGCAGAAGATCGACAGACATGAATAAAACCATTGCAGAAGTAACATGATGCAAATCAGAAAATCTGTAATTTTTTAAAAGTTATTCCCTGTCTCTCTAGGTAAAAGGAACTTGTGATATCATCATGTAAGATATAATTAAGAATCACCCCAATACCAGTCTAAATTTAAGCAATTGCCAAATGTTAATCATCTTTGGGAAAATGGAAATATAATAGCTCTATTAGAAAGAATAATGAAAAAGGAAAAGGTAGTTAAATGCCAATAGAACATTCCATCAATATCCTAAAGCACAGGCTCCTATGAGGACTCACTGTGAAGGAAATGTACCCCTATCGCTCTACAAAAAGGCTGATTAATTCAATTTTGCATTCACAGCTCTGAAGAAAAAACAACCTACTCTTTAATTGGTTCAAACTCCAAGTCAGACTTCAAAGTAACAAAAGCATTTCCTCTAAATCATATTTGTAACAATTTGGCTTACTGAATCCACAAAATCTAAGGAAAATTGCCTCTCTGTTGTCTGGAATCAATTTCTCCTCTAATCTAATACGGACATTTTAAGTAGATCTGTAAGATCCCCCTCTACGGCACAACTGGGCAAAAGATGCTTCCTTCTTGGTAACTTCCACGCCTGGTGTTAATCCCTTGTAATAAATACTACAATGACACAGGAAGTCTCAACTTCTGTTTTCACATTATTTAGACCATTTCTTAGGAGTAGTAGCAACCAGAAACATTAAATTAATCAGTCAGTTAAGAGCCATAGAGTTGTACTTACTTTTACTTGGCTTTTCAGAGATTCAGGAAGGAGAAAACCTACTTGTCCGAGAGTTTCCTTCACGTTGGTGATAACACAAACTTGTTGTGATAGGTTGTCTGTTGATCAAGAAAAAAACTTAGTATTTCATGCAAAAATAAATAAATCCAAATTACTAATCTGCTAAACATTGTCTTCAATCCACATATTGTTAAAAATGTTTCTTGACAGAACATTTTCAACAGCTGTAAATTTAAAGGGTACAATGCACAGTTAATGCAACTACGTAATTTATATAATATACATCTCAAAATTCAAATTATATTTTATATTATTTTGTACAATTTGAAATCATTACATAAGGCCTGTCCCCAAAGCCCATTTAAATCTATTAAAATATATTTGTACAGGTCCACTAGATGACAATCAAGAAAACTTTTTGAAAATTTCATCCCTCTTTTCACTTCAACAGACAGCTAAATGCAATGTAAGTAATATTGAGTAAATAAAGGGGAAAAAAAGAAAAAAAAAACAGGAGGTAACATAAATCCTATTCCCAACAATACAAACTAAAAAATTGCCAAAAAAAGTTATTTATGATACCATTTAAGGAGACAGAAGATGTAACTATTCCCCTCAATAGCAAAGAAATTGCAAAGTCATGACAAAGATCGTGGCCTGGGCAACTTCCAAGATCCTTTACTGGTGGGGCAAAATACAGTATTTTGTTGCTACCAGGAACAACAGTTTAAAGTTATTGCCTGATCTGTTCCACAAAGGCAGTATTTCAGAAAATTAGTAATTTCTCTTGTTACTGACTTCAGGTTTTAGATTTAGTGAACGTTTTCCTTTCTTTAAGCCAACAAATTGAAATTCAAGTTTGAAACTCTCAAGTCTAACTCAGGACTTTATCCTTTGGATGCTGAATTAACATGCAGAACAAAACATAAGATTTCCAATGCTTTTGGGGTAGCTGTTCCGTAAGCAACTAGGAACTTCACACATGTAAAGTCTAATTATTTAATGCAAACTCAATGAAACTCCAGAGACAGAAATATACCAAACACCTCCACAAAATAAATTAGGAGTGAAAGACAAGAAAAATTATAAAAATATGGGCTAACTGGTCTTCAAACAAATCTGGATATAAACAATACATATTTGTTGCATGTGGAAAATTATTTCTATAATTACATACCATACAATAAGTTAATCAGATGCATAACTTCAGTAGTGCAGAAACATCTCACTTTCTATTGTAAACTCACAGACTTCTTTATAAAAATAGACATAAAGACCTGAAAATTAATTTTAATCTTGCTGAGTTAAAATTATTGGAAAGTGACTTGTGATTTTTAGGCAATTTTCTGTGAGCAGGAAAAGTGAATTAACCACTGAGAATTCCAAAAGATAATTAGAATGATTTTTTGAATCATGGATATTTATTATGTCCAATTTTTATAATGTGACAACAAAAATAGTGGTAGCAACTGACTTTGTATTAAGTTAGCAAGTATGGGGAGAGAGGAAGAAAGGGAGAGAACAATAAACATATGCTTATAAACCATCTCAACCAGATGGAAGTGAGAATTAAAAAAATGCATGGCCAGTTCTCACAGGACTAGAAATCAGAGGATATCACAATTGTGGGAGAAATTATCTTCACATAGATTCACTGGGCAAAGAAGTATACTGAACATGCATCACAGTTGGCTTCTACTTAATAGAGAATAACTCTGCAGTCTGAAAAAATGGAAAACCATATTGAATTCATTTCTTATCAGCAGAAAGAAACTAATGGGTAGATTGAAATCAGAGCAAGAGCCATTTGAATTTAATACTGTACACAAAGTGCAGATACAAGATAGATATACATAATAAACCAGACTAGCATATCAGATTTCAAGAACTCAGACTCTATTGAACCACGTAATTTAATGAAGAAGGTCAGATTGGAGCTATTATGAAAATTCACATGTGGAAGAAGGCTGTGGAATCCAAAAAGGCACCATAACTTAGGCTCAAACAGTTATTTTTAAAAAGACTGTAATCAACAGCAAGTGTCAGAAATATTCTCACAAAAGGTCGTTCAAAGGCTGCAGCTATAAAAACCCATCTCACTACTCTCTCCAGCCCTCTTAGATCTCTAATTTCCTATAATATAAATGAGAAAGGAGAGGCAATTACAAAAAAAAAAAGCAACTAAGATTTGCAGGCAGAGTTTAATAAAGAAGAGAGAAAAACCAATGAAGTGTGGAAAACTGTATTTTTTATCTGGAGAATAAACATAATTTTTTAAGGGGAAAGTATGTTTAAAAAGTAGGAGAACCTTAAAGTAATGATAATACACACATTGAAAACATGCTGCATGCTTTGAAATGATCAAGAGAATGAGTAAAGGAAGTCTAGGAAACTATCATTTATAAAATCATCATAGTAAAGCAACAGTACTGTTCTAGTTGAGTTGAAACTCAGCTTCCATTTAAATCCAAACTATTTCAAGTGGTCAAAAAACATCCATATGTTAATTTAGACTGCACCTTTTCTGCATTGTGGGAAGGAAGACTGAGTGGAGCCTTTCTCCTCAAGACTGCCCGTGTCCCATTTCTGCTAAGCTGATGGAGCTGTCACTCAGCATAGTCACGCTGAACCCAGTGAGCACAGCTGGAGTGCTGGCTCATAACTCCACAGATTTCATGAGCTTTGCTGCCTGACAGTAAAACTGTGTGCAGCATTTCATTCCTGGCTTTCAGAATTCTGTTTGGGTGAACAAAATAGTCATTCTGGAAAGCCACAGCATGGCCACGTCACAAAGAATTTTAATATTCAGCTAAAAACATTTTGTTTTCCATTGGACCGCTGGATAATTGAGGCTGGAAGGGACCTCAGGAGGTCTCTTGTTCAGAGTCCCCAAAGCAGGATCACCCACAAGCTCAGGCCTGGTCACTCAACCCCTTATTGCTTTGGCATGCAATCAATCCAGCCAACCTATTCACTTCTTGGTTGTCTGTGAGTTGGAACTTCCCTTGGCTGGGTTTTCATGTTTCCTCCTGTCCTCCCACAATGAACTACTATTACTTAACTACTTAAGTTCTACTTAACTTCTTTCTGCCATAATTTCCTTTTCATCTGGCCAATGCTTTTTTAAGTTGTTTTCTCACTATTACATTACATATCAAACTCTGTACCTTGCTTTGGCTTCCTCTTATTTAAATATATTATTTCCCTGGAAATTTCCTCTCCCCAACACCTATCACCCATTTACTACCAGCTTCATTTCAGCTGTACTTGATAATGTAGTGTTCCTTATTCACATGCATCACATTTGATCCCTTCCAACATTTTTAACATACACTCAGAACATATTTTTTGCATGAAATAAAAAATAGTTACAACTTTACACTGTCAAATTTAAACATTAAATTTCCCTATCAGGTTTCTTTTTCATTAAAGCTAAATTTGATACAAGATTTCAGAATTTATTCCATTAAACCTATTTTTTTCTACATCAGAAAACTTAATTTTAAATTTTTCCACACCCTCCTTTGATATCCTGAAAGCTTTAGATCACATTATTATTCAGCAACACCTGCCACAGTCTTTATCTTAGGATCATACCCAATTATAAATTAAAACATGTGCATGTTTATGGAACTACTATAGTTAGATGATGTATTAAGTGTACTCTAATGGAAGACTTAGAAGTTTACCTTGAAGAGCATGCCACAAACAAGCAGCAATTAAAGTAATACTTTGTCTAAAGATAATAAATATCATATCCTAGAGAACTAATGCCATAAGAGAAAAAAATGCATCTGAATGGCAAATAAGTTTTAGCCTACAGATATGAATTTTCTCTCTTAATTGCACATATATGTGTGTACATACACTTGTTTTTGGAAACATGCTCATACCACACCATTCTTAGTCTGCTATTACATTTCCTATTATTTTGGAAGCACATCCTAATCACAAAAATGCTTTTGAAGTTTGCAACTAATTCCAAGTAGTAAATTAATTTATCAGAATTCTATTAGCGCTTTCTACATAGCAATGGTTTGACTGGTCTAGAAATTCAGTATGGTTTCTTCTGGCATCTTTAGAAATATCTTTGTTATGAGATGCTACTACTGTAAATAGAAGAAAAATTAAGAAACTACTGCCAAGCACTCATTCACGCTCAACAGAATGAGTTGAAATTGTTATTTTAATAATATAGGTAAACAAAAATGTCTAACAATTTTTTGTTGTTGTTTACCCATTCCTCATGTCTCTATAGCCACAAAAACTAAAAATCAAACTTGACACTCACTCTACCAATATTAGTACACAGGAAAGAAAGGAACATTTTGTATTAGAAGACAAGAAAAGAGGGTTGTTTTCACCTGGCAGTAGCTATTCCAAGGAGTGTTCCCCACCTGCCAGTCTATTTCTTTGGCTCAGAGCTGAGAACACCCATTGGTTCATAAGCATGCCCAGCCTACCTCACATAAAATCTTCATCCTTTGCTAAACAAGGCTTATCTCAATTTTTATTTTTATAAAAAGTCGCATGGTTTTTTCACAGAACACAACTCATAATACATATCTCCCAAAAGCTATAAACAGTTTGAAGGCATTACAGTATTTTTCTTGGCACTCGCAAAAATCATCATTTTATCTACATCAACTTCTTTAGCCAAATGTGAAGGCAAATTATCCAATCTGAAAATGCATGCTCTTGTGAAAAAGTAATTTATAAAGTAAGGCTCTTGAGAAAAGAAAAACAAGAAGGAGGAGGAGGACAGAGAGTCAAACTGTAAGTTACAAACTTCTTCTGAGAAGCACCATTTAAAGTTTACATGTTGCAACTGGAGTTCAAAGTTATCTACCTCGAGGGCAGTAATCCTAATGGAATTTTTTTAGGATGTTTTGTATTAGCATGAGCTTAACTACATTTCTAGATGAGTCACCCTTATTGTAAGACAATGTTTTCTTACTTCAAGACTATTAAAAATAGGCATGTGCCACCTTGTCTGCATACTCTACAAGTTTATACCTGCTTAACTAAAGAAAAGCATTAAATTTGCTTTTTATAAAAGTTATAAAAGAGAATTGAGGAAGTTAGGAAATTAAAAAGAAATGTTTTAAGAAAAGAGTCTCAAAAGAAAAATAACTCATTAGTCTATTTACATCAGCGAAATGTTTCTTTGTGTTGCCTTGAATAAGAATGATATGCAAGCATATGAATATCTAAGGTAAAACAAATGCATGTAGGGATATATGTTTTTCTTACTTCCACCTGAGTCAAGTTTAGCAAGCTGAAATCTGTTGAATTCCTGAAGAAAAGCAAAAATTTTGATCACTAATAAATATAAACTGCAGATGACATAAAATTTGGAATTGTAGTCACACAATTAAACATGTACACTCAATAGTTCTTCATCACTACTGAATTCATCCAGAGATAAAATGTGCATCCAGCACAGTAAATGCGTAACTTGATAATAAACAAATCAGCTGTGAAGACTGAAACAGCGGTGGGGAGTACTGTGAGGCCTGAGACCTTAGCACCCAGCACCCTCCTAGCCCATACTTTCAGCTTCTGGGATAACCCCAGAGGATCTTGACAGCATGCAAGGTGGCATTTAGAGAGCTGGTATCTTGCAACTCAACTTGACAGTCATGTAGGACTTCCCCCTCAGGCACTCTATATGGCACAAAAAGTGGTAAGCAGGAGCACATTACTTACAAGAGCATGTAGTGATAGGACAAGTGGGAATGGCTTCAAACTGAGAGTAGATTAGATTCAGATTAGATATTAGGAAGAAATTCTTTACTGTGAGGGTGGTGAGGCACTGGAACAGGTTGCTCAGAGAAGTTGTGGATGCCCCATCCCTGGAAGTGTTCAAGGCCAGGTTGGATGGGGCCCTGAGCAACCCGATCTAGTGAAAGGTGCCATGGCTGGTAGCCATGGGCTTGGAACTAGATGGTCTTTAAGGTCCTTTCCGACCCAGGCCATTCTATGATTCCATGATTCTACAATATAGCACCACATAGTGGGTTCTGAACTCAGAAAAGCAGACACTGTGATACAGTCAATTACCCAGCTTGTAGGAAAGGCCTAACTGAGTATGCCTTGGCTTGCAGGATGGTTGACATTATCTAAGGTGACCTGTCCTTGACGGTTTCCCATAGGTACAGCACAGCTCAGCAGAATACAGCTAATAAGATTTATTCTGTAAAACTAACAACCATAAGACAAAATGATGCCATACAGGGGTACATCAAAATGATGCTCCAAAGGACAAAAATATATTCTCCCCTCAAATACGCTTTAAGTGTGGAATGAACTGTGCATAAATCATCTGCCTAATATTAATTTACATGGTTCAACTGTCCACTACCAAAATAATTCATGCTATAGCCACCTGAAGATCTGAGATTTTCAGCTTTTTGAAGGGCACGGAATAGATAAGGCACAACTTTCAAACTGCTGTCTTGGAGGACTAACAGTGCCAATTCAAAACCCCATTAAAGATAATTAATTATGTAAGATAACTCTGTTATGCAGTGTCCTAATTTGCTATGAAGGATTCATTATGCTATTCATACAGCTTCTGCTTCCTGAACTCATGCAATGCAGCAAGAAGCAAATCTAAACTTCAACAATCTTAAAGTACAGATTTCATAGAGACCACCATAATAAGACTACTGCTGCTACTGAAGCAGATATACTGCATGCTACCACAGCAAGAGGATATTAGATAAGAAAAGGGATTAACCTGATTTACCATCATGATGGTCTTCATTTTTACTTTAAACTACACAGGCTTTTTTTAATAAGCAACAGCTGAAAAATCTTGTACTGGCTTTAAGGAAAAAAAAAAAGTGGTAACATTACACACACACACATATATATATATATACATAAAACTAATATAACAAGTAATCTCCTTTAAAGACATGGGAGATTAGAAGCCTTTGTATACACAGAAGCATGGAAATTCATTTGGATCAAGGTTAGTTTTCTTTCAAGTTTGTAATTTTTTGACCACTGAGGAAGAGTCTGGCTCCATCTTCTTCACTGTGCCCCATCTGGCATTTATACACACTGCTAAGATCCCTGTGAGCCTTCTCTTCTCCAGACACAACAGTCCGTGCTCTCACAGCAAATCCTCAATTGAAAGATGTTCCACTACTTAATCATTGTCATGGCTCTTTGCATGATTCTCTTCAGTATGACCATCTGTCCCCTGATGTGGAAACCCAGAAGTGGACCCAACACTCCAGATGTGAGCTCACCAGTGCTGAACATAGAGGAAGGATCACTGTCCTCAGCCTGCTGCTGGTAAATGCTCTGCCTACTGTAGCCCAGGGAGCTGCTGGCCTTCTTTGCCATAAGAGCATGTTGACAGACCCTGTTCAATTTAGGGGTGTGTTGCCAGCTCCTGTTCAATTTCTTGTCCACCAAGACCTCCCAGGGCCTTTTCTGCAGAGCTGCCTTCCAGCTGGTCAGTCCCCAGCCTGTATTGATGCTCCCCAAGGGCAGGAGCTCCATTTCCCCTTGCTGAATCCATGAGACTCCTGTATACCCATTTCGGCAGCCTGTCAAGGCCTTCTGAATGGCAGCACAACCACCCAGACTATCAACTACTCCTCCTAATACTACATTATCTGTTGTCTTCCTGAGGGTGCTCGGTCCTCTCATTCAGACCATTAGTGAAGATTTTTGTCATAGACCCTGAGGATAGACCACTAATGACTGGGCTCCAACTGGACTTTACTCTTTTGAGCCTGACAGTTCAGCCAGTTTCAATCCACATCCACTTTTCTAGTCTCTGCTTCATCAGACTGTCAATGAGAATGTCATGGGAGTTAGTGAAAAAAGCCATGCTGAAATCAAGTCAACCATATCCATTGCCCTCCTCTCATCCACCAAACTACACATTTCATTTTAGAAGGCTATTGTGTTAGTCAAGCATCATTTCTGGTTTGTAAATTCATGTCAACTACTCCCTGCCACCTTCTTTCCTTCAAAATGTTTGGAAATCCTAAGTTTGAAAGCTATGAATGTGGAACTTCTAAGAATCCTACAAAAAGTAGGATTTTCAAAAATCCCAGGCTTCTAGCTATGAAAATGAGAGCCCATCACCTGTCAGAACCAGAAATTTCCAGACTTCCCAGATCTATCTTTTTGATTTGTGCCTGAAGAATTCAGTTAGGTAGTTCTAACAATGCATCCAATATTAAATATTTGCCCACTGTAATATTAAGAGTGAGCAACTAGCCAGTCACTCACCATGCCACAACAGCACACAGACTTTGCTCTGATTTTCTTGCATAGAAACTGCATTCTTTTCTCTGGAAAGGAGTTTTTAATCCAAAGGGAAGTCCCTTTCTCTTTATCTGTTTCTGGGGTTTTATCCCTCAGTTCTCAACAAGGAGTCGGGCAAGGGTCCCCTGAATCACTGCCTATCACTCTACAATAAACATCTCATTATATAGTATTTGAGAATTCTTCCTTTCCTACATTGTTTTTAGAGTGAGTCCACCTAGATAAAGGCTAAATCCAGTCTTAAACTGGTATGAAACCACTGCTACCAGAAAAAAGAGGTTAACCAACTGTTCAAGAAAATATTTATAAATTAATGAAATACCTTAATATCACGTAACTGCTATATCAATTTAGGCAACAACTGCCCATATGTAAAACAGTGAAGAGCCCTCAAGAGTTAATATTTAATTTTCACTCTACTACATAGAATAGAAAGACGGAACATATTCAGAACTGACCTGCAAATTAAAGAAAAAAATTAATTTTTTATTCATTACAAGGTCCCTCAAAATTAATCTCTATTTGTCTGTAATATACACAGCTTTTTATAAGGTTCTGTATTCTGAGAGAAGTAAATAAAGATAAATATGTCTCATATAAAGATTCTTGTAAACAAGCTGAAACAACTTGCCTAAACACATTTTATCCATCATATAACTTTTCTTAAAGACATTTTGAACAATCGCACACAAAATACTTAATTACAATGGGGAATATGCAAACTGAAGTCACAAGGACAAACACGTACCCTTAATGATTGATTCAGCTGCATACAGATCCTGCTTGTAGGTCACCTAAAGGACAGACAAGCCTCATTAGATTTAACACAGCGGAAGGAATGTAAAACCAATAAAACAATGCCCTAAAGGCAATTCTTTACATTTTAAACACCATAAACAAGTGATATTGTCAATTTCTTAATTTTGGTAAAATATCACTGGCAATTTACGAGAACAGAGGTTGCAGAAACTACTGGAGACTTGAGAAAACCCCTTTTCCATACACTTAGATCTGCCTAGAACTCATTTGAAACCTAAAAGTATTTTAAATACTTTGAAAAATCATGAAAACATGATAATGCATCTATTTTTTTACACATCCATTCTACTCTAATCTTATTGCAAATAGATTAATTTTTAACAGAACTTGGGATCATAAAAATGACAGCCAGGGAGAAACCTTGTTCTTGCTTTTACTAATACAGGTGCAATTTTTCAGTAGTGCAAGACTATTACTGCTAATGAAAGCCCAATTAACCAGTGAGAGTCAGTGAGACTACAAGTAGACTGTGTGAGCTTTCAGAGAATTAATTAACATCAAATTCTTCTTGAAGACATTAATCAGATCAAGTTAGATGAACAATAAGATGCTGAATATTTACTTGGTACTTGCAAAAACACCCTTCATATCTGTCTTTGTACCCTCATAGTGGCTGACAGTCACAATAATAGGCTTTGCAAATAACAGAAAATTAAAGTCAGCATCTACCCAAGACATTAACAGTCTTTGGTAGCAATATCTTCACAATGATCAGCAGTGACTTGAACTGACATGATTCTTAAATATTTATATTTGCTTTTACTGTAAATTCATTTTATGCCAAATGAAATTTTACTGGACTTTCTGAATTTTTTTTCTAGAGTCTGAATAAATATTTTCTTTTTCTTTTTTCTTTTTTTTTTTAAATGAACTGAACAGGATTCCAAAAGCTTTAGTGCTACAAGGTAAATCTTACAGCAAGACACCACTAACAGTATCAGATATCTTAGTCTCCAAGTAAGTGATTATTTGATTTTAACAGGATTCTTGTAAACACTTTCCTTTAAATGTCATAAACTAAGCTCTGTATTATAGTCAAATACAGATGAATAACACTGCATGATTTCCCCAATGCATTATATTATTTTACAAATAAAAACTAACTTCCCTACAGTTTGTCCCAAAGGAGATGTAGCCAGAGAATGAATCTATCCTGATAAATCTTAGGAGTCTGAGTTTACATACAGACATTTACATTTCTACTTACTCTTGGGAAGAACCATTGTCCTGAAATTAGATTTAAGGATAGAGTGACCAGTTGAGTGACTGACTTTGCTGCAAAGTTTCTTTCTATTCACCAGATTCTAGAGGGCCTTTATACTGACCTTTCAGTAAAGTGTAACAGATTATAATCCCAAAACCTTTCAAGAAACAAGACTAGAGTCTGTCAGAAATGGTCTCACATTCTAACATTTACAGTCTCTGAGGCACAGAAGTATTTTTAAACAGCCTGATCTAAAATATGGTAGGTGAAGTCTTTAAGAAAAGAGCACAGGAGAATAAAAAGGTAAGAATGAACCTCTAAAAAAATCTCTTCTGAAATTCTGAGACAGACATCAGCAAATGCTTTGTTTCCTAGAGAAATAAATCATTGAAGACCATATCACATGCTTCATATGTGCTTCTTCAAAATCTTTGTTCCTATAACTTAATTTCACATACAAGCTCCTGTGTCAATGAAAATTGCAGAGCTCACTGAAAAACCCTTCCAGATACCATCTGTGACCTCCCCTTACCAGTTAAGGAGGGAGAGTTTCTCTACACCTCTTTCAATTTCACTAAGATGCAAAATTTGATCCCCTGGATGTTCCCTATTTATAGGGAATTTATTTATAAGAGTTGCACAGATCTCGAGCTCAGAGTTCTCCATAGCATTCTAGCTGCACTTGTAATACCAGAACATCTCTTTCCTAATTTCATATTCTTGTTTCTCTGCCCATGCTGACAAATGGTATTTTGTCCACACAGTGGAAACTTTCTATCCTCTGTGATTCTTACACCACAAAGTCACTGCTTCCCAGGAACAATCCATGAAATATAACCTATAGTTCATTTGTTTCTAAAATCAGTGTTCTTATTATTACATATTTGGCTGCAATGAAAAGCATACGCTTAGTTTAAAATATTTGCTAAGTAATCCTTATTTATAAGTTGCTTCTGATCAATTATATTTATTTTAATAAAAAAAATATTATCTTTTTCTGCAAACTTTCTGACAACTTTTAAATACCTTAGAGACAGTAAGAGTTTCTGCAGAAACTGGTGAGACATGGGGAGAATCATCTTTTGAAATATATCAATTATCTAATTTTTCACCTATTTAATAAGAACTAGTACAATTACAGTCATCCTATTTTTAATTAAGATGTCATGTAGTAACAAGTCAAACTTTTTCCAGCTTTATGTTGTGTCAGCACTACCATCTTTATCAGCCAATATTATAGTGTTGTAATAAAGTCTTGAAGTCAATTTCACAAAATAAGTAAATTCCATGTTGGTTGACATTAATTGCTTTAATCGTATGACTCTTTATTGATCAAGTTTTGCCTCTAGCAGCGCACCCTTCTGTTTTGTTGATCAGTATCAAACTCACAGGCTCCCAATTACTCAAATTCTCATTTTCATGTAACAGTATTAATTTCCATTTTGTTCTCTTGAACATCTGATGGCCCAAGATTTTCAGAATGTTATTGCTGCAATCCAGAATATCACAAGGCCAAATATTAAAACTCAACATAAATACCTCACAGTCACAGAACATGAAAACACGACCTGCTTATAGCAGAGGCAGAACAGTCTTACTTATTAAACATCTCTACTTTTCTGTATAATAAACAATCTATTGTACTTCTTAATAAAGCCCCAAAAATCATCAGATGGGTTTGTTTTCCTGTGTGCCTTTTTTGTTAATTGTCAGACTAAAAGTTTTCAGTACCTAGGAAGATGTTGTTTTAGAAATTATTCCCCAAAATTACTTCCATGTGATGTATAAAAACTGATTTAGCTTGATGAATGGTTCAGACTTATAAAAATGTACATTAAATTCAAAAATACAACTTGTTACAAAACAAATACAATGAAGTTATGATCACACACATACACAAACGTACTGAATTTCAGTTTAATTAAGGTTTTCCCCCTTACACTAAGACATTGTACAGATCTCCTTTGTATGGGATACTTTTGTATGATTAGAAAATAATCCGTTGCTTTTTAGAAAGAGTGAGGATTTTGCACTCTTTCAACATTGTCTACAAATCTGTCTTGATTTTTAAAAAGGTGTTATTATACTGAATTTTTTAACTACAATTCACACACATATATCAGAGTACAACAAATACATTCTGTTAGTTGATTTTACATTTCAAGATAATATTGCCCCAGAATATTTAAGAAAATTTTACTACCAAGGTATCAAATACAGAGAAACTGAAAATCTGGTGTTGACAGAGAATTTGTTTCTTTTTAGTGTCATCCTGATCCCAAATATCCTACAAATAGCTATATAAGAACTATCTTTTAAACAGAACTTACAAATATTTATAACACTGAAGTAATTTGAATTACTTGGTTGTTTTCACTACAAAGAATGATTTTAATTTTGTCATTTGTTCCCAGAAAATAAACAAAATATCTCCTGCTTTAGCTCCAACAACGACTTTGAAATGTTACTTTTCCTAATGTACAAGTGCTCAGACATAATAATTAGTGTTAATTCAAGAACATAATATATAAACACACACAACTTTTTCCCACAGCTTTGAGTCATTTAATGTTATGTAGGTTGTGCACCTCATGCATAAACTGAATTCTTACTAGTATCTTATCTGCTCTTTAAAGATTCAAGGTCCACATAGGATGAAACTGGTTTTTAATACTCAAACTTTAGAAAATGTAAATTTACTGCAGTACTTCTTTTACACATCCTCTGAAACCTCAACTGAACAACAATTACTTATTTCAGTTCTTCTTTATCTGGATGAAATATCTTTTTGCTTTATGCTGAAAAATAAGACTGGAGCCATTGAGAGAACATCAGTTCTTGGTATACGATATGAAATATGTATGACATTATCTGTCCCTCAGAAGCCTAAATAGGAAAACAGACCATATACTGTTTCAGAAAAACTGTATATTTCCAACAAGATATCAAAAGAAGTTCTGTATGCAACAAATGCACAAGTAAATTTTGCTGTTAAATTGCCACAAGTTAAGGAAATTGCCTTTCTTTGTGATATTTATGGTTATACCAGTAGAAATAATGTCACATTTCAGGAAATTTACTGTCAAAGACAGATGCAGTGATTTGAGATGCTTCCAGATAAAATATAAAAAAAAATTAAAGTGCTTGACACAACAGCTACTAAAAACAAATAATGTCTCACCATCCAAAACAGTTATATGTGGTACTTTGAAGTAGAAGGGACATATACTTTGGCCCCTGTACACACAGCTGCTTTGCAAGTCATCAGGCACCTACCAGATTACCAGACAAGATAAATTATGTTTAAAAAAATTTAAAATATTATTTTAAGAGGTCTTAAATATTACAGTGTTACTGAATGTAATGAACTACTCTAAAAATCAACTTGTTGATAGCCAGGTATTTGGCATCAGAAAAAATAAATGATGTCCTTATAGGAAAAGTGGAGGAAAACAGACAAACGAGATAGAAATAGCAGGAGAAAGGTCATATCAAAAAAGAGAATTCTTAGTTTTGCAGATTACACATTTATAGTTTTCCAGATTCTGAGGTCATTCAAATACCTACATGTTTTTCCTATTTACAGGAAAATTCTGTCTTTATTATTACCTCAAGTATTATCTGCCCAAGTCTCTCTACAACAATGAGCTCTAGAAAGAGCTCAGACAAAACCATTGAAAATACATCTGAATTTTTATGGTAATATGCAAATTTTATTAATTTAAAATTATATATATATATATATACATATATATATATATATAAACAACTAGATATTATTATTGTCTTTACCTTCCAAAGGTCAGCTGTTCCTTCAACAAGTTTGGCATTTGTTTTACAGTATTTCAGAGCCAGATGCAAACATTCCGTTCCATAATCCAGGTCATAGTCAGTACACTGTAGCAATTAAAAAAGAAAAAAATATCCTAAATTAGTCTTAGGTACTTCTAAGCAATAACACATTTCCTTTCATTAATTAAACCTTACATCTCAACAGTTCTATCCACACTAATACATCTGTATTATGCACATACGTTCAGCATGGATCAGAAATAAAACAGTTCCAAGCATCTTATGCCAAATTGTGGCTATTCAGCAAAGTCCTATAGAAGTAAATAAAAACTTTATAAGCACAGATGAATTAAGTTAGATGCTGCAAGTATCTTGCTAAACCTTTACATTGTTAAATGCATTAATGAGAAGTTACATGTATAAAAAAATTCTTGATGGAGTTGACATGCCTCATCAATAGACACCACTGACTTTCCAGTGACCAATCTTCAGAGTACCAGAACAATTTAACAGATGTGGAATTATGACTCTTCAAATGCTGTTTTGGTTATTGCAGAGTCAAAAAGCGGATGGTAGTAACTAGGAACCTCTGTATCCCTCTTGATTCCCTCCATCTTTTTTCCACTTATCTGCACAGAAAATAGCAGTCTCATGCTGTTCCACAATCCTTACAGATTTTAAAAAATAACAAAACAACAAAAAAAACCACACAATAAACAAAGGTTTATCTACCTTTTAGTCATCTAGAAAAGATATTATTCTCTTGACACACCCTTTCCAAGCAGTTTGACTTCCTATTGATACTGATTATAAGAACCTCATTAATGAAAAACTGAGTAAGGAGAAGAATCTTCTGAGCCAAAACATAGTTAGCAAAGCAATAACTGGGAGCTTATCAGTCAGGACATCCTCAAGATGAATTAGCCTACCTAAGATAAGAAAGCTCTGTTCTATTTTCATATTGCTAAATTACCAGTCCATCCAGAAACATAAATTCCATGTAACAAGGATAACTTAAGATAGCATCTTTTATTTAAAAAAGAGGCATTTGAGAAGATTACAGGCTGGCTACCACACTATCCAATTTCAGAGTGAATTATCAACAATAAGGAAGAAAGAACAAGGCAATGGTATGTTCTTACTTTCCCAGAATGCTCCCTTTGCCTCATATAAAGCTATTATTCTGGCTTCAGAAATCCCTATAATAAAAAGTCCCTGAGGGACATACTCAACCAGAAGTGACTGCCTTAACAGCACCCAGTGAATTACAGGCATCCTAAATTCACCCAATTATTTTTTTGACTAGCAGTATTTTTTTAACAACTGCAGCAGGGAGTATCTCATCCATCACCCTTTTCATCGCATGCTCTGTTATTCTGACAAAAAAAACACTTCTCAATCCTTCAAAATTGCTCCACCACATCTCTTCTTACATCTTTCCACAGATAAAGAGATCAATATCTATTCAGTCATTTCATGTGTGGAAACTACTTAAAAACTTTGATCAACCCTTTTGCCCTCCATTTATCTACACTTACCTAGGAATTTTATCGTATCTTTCTACAAACCTTCTCTGTTAGCACTCATCTTTACTACACAGAAAAAAAATGGGTACCTCCACTTTCTGTTCCAAACTTTTTATGAACAAAATAACTGCACAGGTCTCAGTACAGACTATCATGAAACTCCAGTGGTAATTTACTACAATGAAAATTGGTCATGCACTTGACCTTGTTTATCTTCTAACAAATAATCTACTCTGGTAAGTCCTTTCTCTTTTCCCAAATCTTTAAGTTTCCTTCAAGGGTCTTCAGCAAAAGCTTTTGTAGAACATCTTATTAATGCACTTAGGTTGTTATCACCTCAATCAACCTCAAACAAGATGCCAATGAAATCCTTAAAGAATGACAATTAGCTCTGCAATACGTAATACTTCCTTTACAAACAACTCTACTATTTGGTGTCAAATTTAACCATGTGTCTACAAATTCATGTTTCAAAGATAATTATATTAGCTCAGTAATTTCCAGTCCCCTCCAAACTGAGAAATCGAAATTGTCAAGCATGTAAAAGTTTTAGTGGGTTAAAGAACCAAGAGTACTGCAATACAACCTGCCTTTCTTTTTATTAAGTTCCTGAGGAAGTTAATTAAAACAGATAAAGAAAATTTTTAGCTTCTATTCTTGTTTTATATCACTGAAATTCAAGGAATCCATTGGCATTACACACCTGAATTGCAATGCTCATAAGCACATACATCCTAGAAAAAAACAAAGCTGTCACTTTTATATTATTTAAATCAGTAAATTCTGCCATAATAGTTTGTCAGCCAACTTAGAAAAGTAGTTTAAATGTTATTGTCTTTTACAGTTTTGTAGCTTGTGTTACAAAACAAAATGGATACAAGAAAATAGAATAACTTAAAAATAAAGGGGTTTCAAAAAAACACTTTGGAACATTCTCAAATTAGGCAGAAATTTAAATAAACAGGATACAAAAAAGGACAATAAAAAAGATAAAGGAATAGACAACTCTTATCTCCAAAATACATAAAAATGCAGCAGTCTCAGAAGTAAAGAAGTACAGAGATAAAGTGCCAGTAAAACCAGAAATGGCCTAGTAACTTTCAATTCCCAGTATTTATTACCAAAATGTTTCCTTCTTTCACTTTCTGGTAGAACACAAATTATTTTCCACTAATGTGAATAATATACAGATTAAAAAAAAAAAAGTGGTTTTTTTGTTGTTGTTGTTGGCTGGTTGGGTTTTTTTGGTTTTTTTGCTTCAGAATGGAAGAGAGAATTTCAGAAATAAATTTAGCTATGAAAGAATTTACTTTGAAATAAAATTAGGTAACATTTTAAAATAAAGGATAATTAATACAACTAGGACAAAACTAAGCAATTCCAACTTTTTAGCAAGGTATTAATCACAGATAATCAGTAGGGAGTGGAGAAGTTCCATAAACGAGCTAAGGCATCTTGAGCATATTGCTTGTTGCAAGGGATGAAATATGACACAAAGCAAAGTAATAATTAAAACCATATTTCACTAACACTTGTATATCATGACATTTACCACTCTAATTATCTGTAATTGTTTCAACCTAAACATATTGTCAGGGTGTACTGTTCTCCAAGTCTGATACACTGATGTCAGAGGAGAACAATGAAATGAAGTAGCAGCACAAGGCCAGCTGTTTATATACCATCTCATGCTAAACATCTTCACATGTGAAATTTTAAATCTGTATTTAAAGTACAGAATTCAACAGCTTCTATATATATTGCCCTAAGAAATTCAGTTAACAAATCAAGCATTATTAGAGAGCACGTATAAAAAAGGTCCTGCATCAGGCACAGCATGGCCAGCCAAGGTCAAGGGCAGGGATTGTCCCTCTCTGCTCTGCGCTGGGGTGGCCTCACCTCGAGTTCTGGGGGCAGTGTTTGGGAGCCTCAATATAAAAAGACACTAAACTATTAGAGTGTCCAAAGGAGGGCAACAAAGATGCTGAAGGGCCTTGAGGGGAAGCCATATACACAATGTCTGAGGTCACTTGGTCTGTTCAGCCTGGAGGAGACTGAAGGGAGACCTCACTGCAATTACAACTTCCTTACATGAGGAAGCAGAGGGGCAGACTGATCTCTTTGGTGGTCCATGACAGGACCTGAGGGAATGGCCTGATATTGTATCAGTGGAGGTTTAGTTTGGATATTAGGAAGCAGTTCTCCATCCAGAGGGAAGGAGCGGGCTCCCCAAGGAAATGATCCAGCGCCAAGCCTTGCAGAGTTCAAGAAACATTTGGACAATGCTCTTAGGTGGTGGGACTACTGGGGATGTCCTCCGCAGGACAAGGAGTTGGATTCGGTGATCCTTATGGTCCCTTCCAACTCAGGATATTCTATGATTCTACAAAAATTCCAGAATATTTGTGAAGAAAATTCTTACTGACCCAGGTATACAACCATTCTCATCCTAAGTCTTCTGTATGGAATTCAGTGTACATCTAGATTAAATTTATAAAACAAAAATATGTTTAAAATTCCTACTCTTTCTAAAGCCCCTTTATTACTGAAAGCCTTTCTAACATAAGTTTGACAGTGTACAGTTAACTGAACTTGACATACACACATAGCTTTGTGAAACAATAGACATAGTTTAAGTTTCAGACCACAGATTTGAAATGATGGAAACAGCTGGAAATACTGGCACAAAACATATCCACAAAAGAAGGAAAACATAATAGTTTAGCTCTTTAAATGACACAGAAGTGAATATGTTACTTAAGAATGGTTCTGTACTCTTGAATATTCAAAGGCATTCTAATAGGTAGTTTTGGGGACTCTTTTCTGTGAGTGTTTTTTTTTGCTTGTTCTCCAAGAGTGGATGTTTGAATAAAGTGCTACGAGTGGAATGAGGTACAGATTTTAGCATTACACAAAGTCTTCCTCCTCTTTCCCCCAAATTAGTCTGAAAACATATTGAAAAATAGTACTACTTCCTAAAATGTAAGGTTCCCTGTATGTAAACATAGAATAAGAAGTTAGAGAAAAGAGCACCTATGCAGCCTGTGTCTCCCTGGTATTTACTAATAGTCCATATGTTTACTTATTTCCAATACAATACTTTGAACGCTAATTTACTGTACCTTTATATGGGAACTTGTAACCATACAACAGAACCAGCACAGATAAAAAAAGGTTCAATACTGTTATTTTCTTATTTTTTCATCATTCCTCAGTTTATAATGATACAAAATAATATTCTTTTATGCATTAACTGAAAGAAAATTTTCAGAGATGCTCCTTTACACAGGTACCTTTAAAGCCTGTGTGGAGAGCCAGCATTTATAATTATGTAACCCTTGAATGGGTAATCTTCAGCACTTTTTCCAGTGTCAGCAGTGTCTCCATTTTGTTCTCCCATGTAAATCCACTCAGTAACAATATCAGAACACTTGCACTTAAAATGCATAACTAATCAACAATAGCAGAGCTTTAGGGCTTTTCCAGATCCTGGAAAACCAAGTTTCCACTGCTGAAGTGCCAGAGTATATCATGAACATTCATCATCAGGAACATTTTATTGAGTTAAGAAGTAGACAC